GAGAGAGAGAGAGAGAGAGAGAGAGAGAGAATTTAAGGATTGTGGGGAAGGGATGAGGGGCTGCTCTGAGGGCAGAGATCCGTCCTGAGCAGGGATGTGCGAAGAACTGGATCTCTCCACATCTTCTTTCCCTCCCTCTCCTACTCCCTGGGTCTGTTTCTTTCCTGTCTTTGGATGTGTGTTGTCTACCTGACTCTCTGACTGTCTTTCTCTCCAGCTGTCTCTGACACACACACTCTGTCCTCTGTCTCTGGTCTCGTTGCTTCTCTATTTCAGTCTCTACCTTTCTGTCTCTCCCATTCTCTTTTCCCTTTCCGTCTCTCTGCCAATTTTTCTGTATCTTTCTTTGTCTCTCTCTGTCTCTTATCCTTTTTCTATCTCTTTCTCCCTTTCTTTCCTTACCACCAGTCTTTTGACTCCAGCTGCCTAAGGTACTCCCCAACTTTCTCCTTGCAAAACCCTGCAGTAAACCTGGGAGTAGAAGAAAGGAGCACAGGCTGTGAGCTGAGTGGACCTGCACAGGGCTGGGCAGGAAGAAGCCATGAGCAAGCCAACCTTTAATATTTTTAAATTATGTTTTTATTGATTTCACAGAGAGGAAGGGAGAGGGAGAGAAAGATATGGAAACATCAATGATGAGGGAGAATCATTGAGTGGCTGCTACCTGCACACCCCCTACCAGGGATGGAGCCCACAACCCAGACATGTGCCCTGACCTGGAATCTGGTTCATGGGTTGACACTCAACCACTGAGCCACACCAGCTGTGTACAAGCCAACCTTTAATATTAGCAGGGACTCCGCTTAACATACCCTCAACAATCTTGCAAAGAAGAGACTTTTACCATCAGCCCCATTTTGCAGATGAAAAAATAGAGACCTGAAAAAATTAAGTGACCTGCGCAAGGTCACACGGTTAGGGTGTGTCAGCAGCAGGATTTGCACCCAGGTTAGTGTGAAACCACCAGCCTGCAAGCCTCTGATGGAAGAAGGGGACAGGCCAGCTTGCCCTGCAGCTCACACTCCACCTTTTGCAGCTGATAAGGGAGCCCTAAGGAGTTGTTCTGTCATTTATAAAGCCTTCCTGTCTCTGGGAGCAGTGACTCACACCATGTGAACTTGAGTTTCCCCATCTCATCTTTGAGGGTCAAAGGTGAGAGGGCTTGGTCAAAAGATACTTGTACCATCATCCCTGTCTGAGGTCCCAGATTTGGCTCTCTGAGGCCAAGAGGGCAAAGCATCCTGGAGACAGGTGGTGAGCTCTCAGCCCCAGAGATTAGCGGGCTCATCCTGCAGGGCCTGAGCTGGCTCGGGTTCCATTAGACAGTGTGGATTAGGGCGGCCACAGGGATTTGGTTAAAGCTGGCAGTGGGAGCAAGCAAAAGCCATGTCACCCTTCTCTCTTCCCCCAACACATATAGTATCTGTTTCCAGAGCTGTCCTGGCACCTCTCCCTGGAGGCCCAGATCAAGTGTGGCTTTACACATTTTAAAAGTTGAGAAGGATGGGGCATTTACTGTACAAACCTGGTGTTTGAGGTGTATGGGTTGGCAGCTGGGCTTGCACAGTCCTTTATAGCTTTTCCAGGCTCAGGACTTTTCAGACAGGGCCACAGCTGACATCACAGAGCACGTTCCCAACTCACAGGATCAGAACATCCCTGTGGCTCCTGAGTGAAGATGGAGCAAGCAGGGGCAGAATCCTTCACATGAGCAAGCAGGGGCAGAATCCTTCACAATGGTGCAAGAAGAGGTTGAGAGGATCTGACCAGTATGCTGGAGGTAAAAGAAAGAGAAGTAAGTGGGTTCCTGGCATGGGAAGAAGTAGCTATGAGGTGAGGGAGAAGAAGGCACCATAGTTCAGCACCTGGGAGAAGGGGCAGCATCCCTGAGAATGTGAGGACCAGGACCTGGACAGGGCAGAACCATGGAGAGCAGAAACCAAGAGTTTTATTTTGGACACAGGAAAGCCTAGAATCTTATTTGAGATTTGAAGGGATATGTTAAGCCTATGGTTGGAGTTATGAGTCTGGAACTGAGGGAAGAGGCCAGGGTGGGAGATAAAGCTGAAGTAGCAACAGTGAGTGTGTGGGATTTAAAGTGTTGGGATGAATAAGCTCACCTGTACAGAGGGTGTGGACAGAGGGTGAGGATGGAGCCCCAGGCATCCCAAAGTCTCAACCAGGAGTTTGAACAAAGAGTGGCTACTGGAAGGGGTGGCCAAGGAGGTAGAGGGAGGATGGAGAGTGAGCAGCACAGTGGCCAAAAAACAGGATTGAGGAAGGGAGGAAATTTATCACAATTAATTCAGCCCCATGCAGTAGCAAATGATCATTGTTCACCTCACGCAGATGAGACAACTGAGGCAGAGAGGTGTGGCCAATCTCCCAAGGCCACACAGCACAAGGGGCATGGGACTGCTCAGACAACCTGAGGTTAAAAAAAAAACAAAACCCTCAATAACCTTCACTGCTGAGTCTATGATTTCAGCTCTAGCTATTTCAATGGCCAAGATTCAATTAAATTAAAAGCCCAGGGCTGCTGCCTGCTGTATGCTTTCCACATTTCTAATCCCAGAGCTGGATGTTAAATATATATTTTTAGACTAGCCTCCAATTTAACAGCCACATGATTTTTATTACACAATTTGTTGGGGAGCACAAAAGACTTGGCTGGAAAGTTGTAAGGAGGACATTCTGAGAAAAGGGAAGTGTGTGGAAGGCCGCCTGCCCTGTTTATCGGAATTCTGACTTAGGGGAGACTTAGGGGAGTGTTGAAGGCGGTGCCCCTAATTATTCCTTGACCTTTCCAAACAAGCCTGTGCATGTGCAGACCCCGGGTGTTTACTGGAATCCTTATGCTTAACCCCTGGATGCCCTTGCCTAGAGGACAATGTAAACACATGTGTCCTTCCAAGATTACTCACCTACTGATTGTATCTAAAGATAAAAATTCCAATAAAAGGCTAAGGAGCCTTCTCTTTCACAGTTGGAGTAATCTGTTCATCCGTTGTTCAGGGGCTGGTGGTCAGCCCCAGCAAGGTGGTGCCCCAATGTGAGGACCAAGGAATGCAATGAGACACGCTGTGAAAGTTATAGAAAGTTTGTGGACGTTGTAGAATTCTGTGAAGAGAAATGTTGAATGACACAGGCCAGTAAGCCAGGACAAGTAGAATAGGGAAACTGAGATGGTTAAAAAGTAATTTGGAGCCCTCTTGTAAATCCTATCTTCCCTAAACCAAGGACACTTAAGAGTCAATGATTTGCATTTTTGCCTCCCTAACCAGAGGTATAACCAGATAGCAAATAGCTTATTCTCAGAGAGATTGATAGCAGAAATCCAATTAGTGTCATTTGCTGACCTCACCCAAGGACAAATGAAGTTAGAGAATAAACCTTATTTTAGTTAGTCCTTTTCCAGTCTGTTAAAAGTGAAAAGATCTTTTCTATTTTTCTACCCATGAAGCAAAAGTTCTATAAATTATTAAAATGGTTAATCATGGGAACTGAAGTTTGCTAGCCTATGTTTGTGCCTAATATACTTTGATATATGATCTTTTGGTAAAATAAATTTGACAATCCTTCCAGGGTTTAAATTTTAAGAAACTTTTTCTTGATCTAGAATTGGCTTTAGATCATTCCAATAGGCCTTCTGGAATGCCTCAATATTTGTTTTCTCTCTCATGAAGGAAAAATTTCTGCTTAAGGTATATGGGAATCTTTGTCAAATAATAATAACTATATTATGCTTTCATTTGTAGCTCTAATTGTTATTCTGGAATATTGTGTTTTGCAGAAAGGACAAGATTCCATGTCACTTGAAAGTATTGCTGACTCTTAAACTTTTTGTTTTTCAGATATAAGGAAGCATTTTTAATGCAAATTTGGTAAATTATATATTCT